ATATGCCTGAGTTGGGGGCCTGCAAGAGGCAACCAATTGATATTTCTTTCCCTCTCTTTCTCCATTCTCTTGTCTGAAAATAAAGACTTCCTGCCAAGATGGGGGCGTAAGTAGACACACTGTGCCTCCTCACACAACCAAAATGAGGACAACAATTTAAAAACAAAAAACAACCAGTACTGACAGAAATTTGAACTGTATGGAAATCCAACAACCAAGAAGTTAAAGAAGACACATTCATCCAGACCAGTAGGAGGGACGGAGTTGGGCAGCCCAGGCGGCGAGAGCTCAGGGCAAAGTGGTGGCTACCCTGGGGTGCACAAGATGGCGGCTGATGGACCCAGCGAGGCTGTGGATTGTAGAGCAGGGTGTGGCGCACAAGACAGCTGGCAGGCCGGGTGGTTCCACATTTGCACACAGATAAACCAGGTGAAACTGGGGAGCAAAACAAACCAAGCAACCCAGGGTCCCAGCACAGGGAAATAAAGCCCCAAATCATTGATTGAAAACACCTGTGGGGGTTGAGGTGCCAGAAGAGACTCCCAGCCTCACAGGAGAGTTTGTTGGAGAGACCCACAGGGTCCTAGAACTTACACAAACCCACCCACTTGGGGATCAGCACATCAGGAGGACCCAATTTGCTTGTGGGAAGTGGGGGGAGTGACTGAAATCCAGCAGAGAGTGGAGCAAGTGCCATTGCTCCCTCTCAGACCCCTGCCCCACACACAGCGTCACAACATAGCAATACGGGTGGCCCCGCCCTGGTGAACACCTAAAGCTCCGCCCCTCTCACTACATAACAGGTGTGACAAGAAAAAAAAAATGGTCCAAATGAAAGAACAGATCAAAGCTCCAGAAAAAATACAATTAAGCAAAGAAGAGGTAGCGAACCCATCAGAGGCACAGTTCAAAACACTGGTAACCAGGATGTTCACAGAATTGGTTGAATTTGGTCGCAAATTAGATGAAAAAATGAAAGCTATATTAAGTGAAATAAAGGAAAATGTACAGGGAACCAATAGTGATGGGAAGGAAACTGGGTCTCATATCAATGGAGTGGACCAGCAGGAAGAAAGAAACATCCAACCAGAAAGGAATGAAAAACCAAGAATTCAAAAAAAAATGAGAGGCTTAGGAACCTCCAGGACATCTTTAAATGTTCCAATATTCAAATTATAGGGGTACCAGAAGGAAAAGAGGAAGAGTAACAAGTGGCAAAGTTACTTAAACAAATAATAAAGGAGAACTTCCTTAATCTGGCAAAGGAAATAGACTTCCAGGAAGTCCAGGAAGCTCAGAGAGTCCCAAAGAGGTTGGACCCAAGGAGGAACACATCAAGGCATATCATACTTACATTACCCAAGATTAAAGATAAGGAGAGAATCTTAAAAGCAGCAAGGAAAAAGGAGAGAGTTAACTACAAAGGAGTGCCTATAAGACTGTCAGCTGATTTCTCAAGAGACCTTACAGGCAAGAAGGGGCTGGAAGGAAGTATTCCAAGTCATGAAAGGCATTCAAGATTGCTCTGTCCAGCAAAGCTTTCATTTAGAATGGAAGCGCATGTTGGGAACTGCCCTGCCTGGTATCAGAAGCTGTAACCCTCACCAAGGCTAAGGCTGAGGGAATGACTTTGGACCGTAAGCCAGCAAGGAGACAAAAGCTTATCTCCCGGGCAGGAGCGTCACTTCTGCTTCTTATACTTCACCCTGCCTGGCCCCCAATGCTTGGTCGGTTAGCCAATGACGGGTAAGATTCCCCAAGAGGGGAACGACCTAAGACAGGCACGAACATGTGGGAGGCCCCCAAGGAAGAACTTTGGGGTCTACAGCAAAAGAGGGTGATGGACCCTCGCCTCTCGGCTTGGACAAAGCCCGAGTCCTCATTGTCTGCAAGAATCTCCTAATCTCTTGGCTGCCTTACTTCCCTTGCTCCACCTAAGCCTGAAACAATGACAGAGGGTGGTGCAGCCCTGTGCTGGAAAGGACAGGTTCCCCGGGTGATCAGGCCTAAGAAAGAATATGTAAAATCCTGTGAAACCTGCTTTGTTTAGAATGCTCTCAATGAAATGATAAGGGTCCAAGCAAGAAGTAAGTTTGTTCCTTAAAGTTTTACAGCTCTTTAGCTATCTGACCCTGACTCAAAATAGGCCCTCAGACTTCCTTGTTATCTGTTGTTTGATCCTGACTTCCTGGCAATGATTAATGAGCTTTACCTGAATTCTTACGCAAATGAACCCAATAAAAAGCTCCCTATTTCCCCCACAGGACCCAGTTGTCTCTGTGTATGTTTTTCTCGTGTTTCGATGAGCCATCCACAGCGTTCTGCGGTCACTGCAGGCCAGTGGTCATGTCAGCGGCAGATAAAGTGCTTCCCAGATAAGGTCAAGTTAAAGGAGTTCATCATCACCAAGCCCTTATTATAGGAAATGTTAAAGGGACTTATCTAAGAAAAAGAAGATTAAGAAACATTTACAGTAAAATGACAACAAACTCACAATTAACAACCACACCTAAAACAAAAACAAACTAAGCAAACTAGAACAGGAAGAGAACCACAGAAATGGAGATCACATGGAGGGCTACCAACAGGGGAGTAGGAGGAGAGAAGAGGAAAAGGTATGGAGAATACATAACATAGATGATAGGTAGAAAATAGACAGGGGGAGGGAAAGAGTGGTATGGGAAATGTAGAAGCCAAGAACTTGTGACACATGGACATGAACTAAAGGGGGGGAATGTGGGTGGGAGGGGGTGTGCAGGGTGGAGGGGAGTGAAGGGGGAAAATGGGACAACTGTAATAGCATAATCAATAAGATATATTTTTAAAAATCAATAAATAAAACCTTTAAAAAATAAAAGTATTAAGAATTCTTTTCATATATCGTAACTGTCTTTACCAGGAATAAGTATTTTTTTATAAGCACCATTCTTGGTATTGACCAAAATCATTTTTAAAATTGATGTTCATTATATTAACACTCTTGCTACAATATTCACTCAGAAGTTTGACTGTCACAGTGGTATTCATTTGTTTAAAGAAAGCAGATTCTTAAATTTGGAGCATTTATTAACAGAAGTCCTTTAAGACACAAAACTAGTCAAAAATAATTCAAAGAAAATTCTGTCAAGCATCTCTTTCAAGGTACCAAGTACTTCTCAATTGCCCAGTTATGAAGGGAAGTATATTTGAACCAATGAACACCAAAATCAACCAAGCTGGTGCTATTTCAATTCTCCATTATTGGGAAATTTTCTTGCTACTGCCATACTCCTAACTAGTGACAATTAATGCTCTGAAAACCCCTCCACCAAATTTTGCTAGATAAGATTCTCGATAGTCAATAATTTAAAAAAAATTTTGTGTGTTGATTTCTTAGAGGAAGGGAGAAAGGGAGCAAGGGAGGGACAGACACGATCGGTTGTTCCTCCTACTCATGCATTCTTTGGTTGACTCCTGTATGTGTCCTGACCAGGGATGGAACTTGCAACCTTAGCATATCAGGCCAGGCTAGAGTCAAGGATTTTGCTGAAAACAAGTATCATAACAAATTGACAGGGAAGAAAAAGAGCCAATACCCTTACACAAACAGGACATGTCCCAAATTAATAAAAAAAAATCAGTAATTAGCTGTATGAAATTAATATCCTTCCATAAGCTGCATTACCCTTAACATATAAATGACCTATCTATCCAGTCACCATTTTCATTACATTTACATTCTCTTCAGTTTTAAACACACATCTACATTGGTGACTTTACATACATTTTAGTTTTTGTACTTTGTAACTTTTATACAGGTAGCATACATCACAAAAATCTGTATCAAAATTTTATTTTAATAAAATTCCACCTTAACAGCAGAATTTTGAGACACAAAGGTTGGTAAACTATTTGGTAAACTAAATTTGGCCCACTGCCCATTAAAAAAGTTATTAAAACACAGGCAGTCACTCACTAATGTGTTGTCTGCTTCATTATAACAGTTAAGTATGACTAAATGACCTACTAGCCTAAGTTATTTACTATACTATCTGACCCATTACTGAAACACTTTGCTGACCCCTTAACAAGTCCAAAATTTGTCATAAAAAATTATTTAAATCTGTTACTGAATACTTAGAAGGATAAAATAAACTCTTTAAAAATTGTTTAAGTTAATGCCAAATAGTGAGGCCCACTTCAATGGACATGGGCAAACAGGGGGAAAAAAATAAAACAAATTACTGACTCAGAAGATTGCAAAAATACAACTTAGTTTATCAATTTATAAGTACCTCAAATGACTGAATATCACATTTTGTAAAGCCATTTTCAGCTCAGTTTCAACAGAGAGAAGAGAGGATAGGTTTTGTTTTCTGCTCTGGCAATAAAACAGCTCCAAACAAGTTTATCTCCTTCAGAATAACCTGACAAAGTCAGAAAAAGCTACTAACTACAGTATCTGGCCCATGAGGTATTTTTAAATGATTTTCAAAACTTGAAGGCAAAAAAATATGTATCTCAACATATTGATATGACTGATCCAAAATGTGTATTTAATTGTATTGGGGTGACAGTGGTTCACAAAACCAAACAAGGTTCCAGTGTACAACTCAACATCATCTGTACACCGCACTGTGCACCTGTGACCCAAAGCAATCTCTTTCTGTCCCCATTTACCCACCTTTGCCCACCCCCCCTTTCCCGCTATCACCACAGGCTTATGTCTTGTTAAGTCTGTTTTATCTGTGTGTTGTTGGGTTTTGCTTAATCCCTTCACCTTCTGTCAGCCAGTGCCCCCAAACCTCCTCCCCTCTGACAGATGTCTGTTCCATGTAACCACGCTTCTGTTTCTATTTTGTCTGTTTTTTTGTTCATTAGATTCCACATATAAGTGAGATTATATGGTATTTGAAATGTATTTTATATTGTTGTCAATACTGGCAGATAGTTCTTTCTGTTTTCTATTTACAGAAGGCAATGCATCACAATAGGTCTCCATAAAAACAAAGCACTTCAATTTTATTGCTATTAGGGTACTGAAGGGCATTAAGCCTCTCTAGTGGCTTCCTTACAGCACAATAACATGGGTTATTTGTTACCTTTGTCAAACAAATTTTCAAATTTCACTTGTGGTTGGGGGGGGCGGGAAATCCCACACTTTATTTGCATAGTTCACTAGAATCAAAAATCTTTAAAATCTAAGTATTCCCCAATAGAGTAAAATTCCCATTTGATTTTAGCACAGCAGAAAAATTGTGTAAACACAAACTCAAATTTAATTGAAAATGTTCATTACAGAAATTAACAATGCTTACCATTCTTTAAACACCATGTACATTATTAATATATACTGTATATTTCCAATCACCTCCATTCTCAGGCTCAATTTAAGAAACACAATTTTAACAGGTTTTATACAAAAAATACTTCACTAAGAAAGTAGACAAACTGCACAAAAACAGTACATGTATAATGTGCATAGCAAGATTAGCTTGAAGCATCTATGTATGGCTTTCTTTAAAATAAAACTATTTGGAGAATGGGCCCATTTGGGACCTACTGTTACAGTTGATATATGTAAACTGTTTCACATCTTTTAGGCACTTGCTAACAATAGTGTTCAATCCCTGAAAAATGAATTTATCCCCCCCAAAAGATTCTATCTCTGAAATAAAAACCAAGAAAATAATATGGGTAAAGTTTTATATATTCCTTTTAAATTAAACAACCAGTTTTATTAGTGCATGCACAGAACTAAATAGAAAAAAAAATAAAATTTATGTCGAAAACTTTCTGTGCAAAATTTACACAATGAAAGGTACAAAAATATGTACAGGTTTAAATTCTTTGTTATATACAGAAAAGAAGCCCTGAAGTTTTCACTCAATCAATGAAAATGTCATAATACTTGTAGTAACAATGTAACAAAAAATTATATAGCGTGTAATTTTCCAATAGAACTCTATTATTCACTGATTAAAAAAAAAGTCGATCCAAACTTAAAGGTGAAAAGTTGAAGCCGATGATTCTGCCGCTGTCACAAAAACACCCATTTTAAAATTCTTCCTCTGTTGGGCACATCCCTTAGGAATCTGTCCTGAAGTTTTATGTGCCACTGCTGAGGTCCACTATTAATGATTACTTTCGACTGCCAATAATTAGTAAATAATCTGTTTTGGGTTACATCATACCCAAAACTTGCTAACAAAAATGGTTTGTCCCAATGTGGAGATGTTCACACACTAATTAAACACACACAAAAATAGGATTCACTTTGCTAATCTTGCTTCAAAATATCATTTCTGTAGAATTTTTAGTTTTCAAAAAAAAAGCCATTCCCTTGGAAGTGCTTCTATGTTCCACTCTTTTTAAAGAAATGGCAACCAAGAAAAAAATGGCAATTTGGTTTATGGGGGACAATTTAAATCAAACAAGCATAGTTCTATGCAAGGGGCTCACTGGAAAATGTAAATAGATTCAGAAGTGTCCCAAGTTCTTTCACTGGACTTCATCCGAGACCAAGAGAGTTTAATTCTTTCAAGGCTGCCCATGTACTGCAATGCTTGACCTAACCATTTAGAAAATCACCGTGAAAAGGTGTTACAATCTCTGACAAGGGACACCAGCTTATGAGAAAAAAAAATTGTCAAAACTTTTTGAGCATTATGAGTTTTAACTGTAGTGAATGAAATATACTCTCAAAGAAACCTATACCCTTCACAAGAACTATATTTAGCAGATGTAAGTTCTTTACCCAAGCTCTCTTAGTATATCCTCACAAATGATGTGAAACTCATTCAGTTCCATGATGAAAGAGCTCTCCATCTTCAGAGGAACTATATTTATCAGATTCATAAGGCTGGTGAAAGAGAAGGAATGGATGGAGCTGTCGGCCGGTAAGTCGCTGAAGAACTAAATTGGGAGAACTTTATCAAAATTTACTTTAGCCCTAACTTCCAAAGAACACATTTTTAAAAAATCAAATCAAGGTACATCTGTGTTGTAATGAATTCTTTCAAAATTTATGTGTGCAGTAATAGCATTTTCCAACATCACACATAAAACTTTTTCTCTTCTAAAGAATATAGCCAATGGTTAAATGTTTAATTTCTACTGAAGTAGAAAATGTCTGTATTAAGGTAAATCCACTGTTTCCTTTCATTTTACCTTTCTTTTCCTTGGTAATTACAGTAAGTTATTCTAACATATTCCAATCACGAGTAGCTTCCATTAAATGTCTCTGCCCATGACCAGCCCAAGCATCTTGATTGTCAAATACTCTACCACAAAACCAACAGTTAAATTTAGCCTTCAGAACATTTTCGGAGGTAGTTTTCACAATCTGATAATTGTTTTTGCTTGTCTTTTTGAGTGTTAATTTTAGCACAAATCTTTCTTTCACAGAACAAACAGGTTTATATGTTTTGTGCCTCTTGGAAAAATCACCATAAGTTGTTTTAGAAGGGTTATAACAAACTGGTTTCAGTAAAGCATTGATAGTTCTTTTTGACAACGAAACCTTAAGTACACGTCCATTAAATTTGGAAATTGTTTTCATTACATTTACTACTTCTGGTGCATCTGCATCTGGATGATTCAACACCACAACTGGTTGATTTCTCCTGGGACATGTCACAAGCTGTTTGGAGCTAAAGGGGAAAAGTCGCAAAGTTCTGACTGAATCTTTTGAAAGCCTAGGTGTACAAAATCCAAATGACTCGTGGACATCTTCAGGTTTAACCTTTTCTTTACACTTTCTATGTAATGTTGCTTTTTTTCTTGGACGTTCTAGGTAACTGTCCCTGCACTTTCGTTTACAGTTTCTGCTTCTAGATACACTGGCAGTTTCAGAATCTCTACTTCTTACATGAGTTTTTATTCTTGAAATATTTTTTTTGGAAGTCTTTTTTCTATTAAAACTTCTCTCAATTGTACAATTTGTTTTATACCTCAAAACCCTGGCCTCTGAACCATCAGTGATATGTACTGGTTCCTCAGAAGATTCTGGGCATGTTGCAGTAGAAGTTATCACAATTTCATTTGCTGGCATCATATCGTCTAAGAAGGGTAAGGCATCTCTAGATGATTCTGGCTCTTTCTGCCCTCCTCCTGCAGTCTGATTAGATGACACATTGTCTTTCTGCAATGAGGACGCAGAGTTGCTTACTGACAGATTATTAGCAGCAGTCACATTTAAAACAGGGTTAAAGATTTTCAGCAATATTTTTTGTGGTGTTCCCTCAGGTTTCTTTGGCTGTATATTTTTATAATAAGTACTATTTTGGACCAATTTAGGCTTAAGCAGCTCAGTTTTATTTGGCATCACACACTTCAAAAAAACAGTTTGTTTGCCATCAGGCAAGAGGGTAAAAAGAGGTGGTTTTGGAAAAATCTCCCTTTGCTGTTTTACTGAATTCAAGACATTCGACTTAGCACCCCGATGCTCAGGTACTATATTAAAAGTAGGAACAGCTTTCACTGAAGAACTTGATGGCGTTTTAATAATGTAAGGGCCTTTTAATGGCAAAGTATTTTCTGAGCTACTTTTCATGCTCAAACAACTGCCAATGCTGGAACAAAGTGCAGGTGTCAGACAATTATTGTTTGGTTCTACCTTTAAAAAAGGCGTTCTGCAAGGCTCTTTTGTTGTAGTTCCACAAGCTTGAGAACTCTCACTCTTGACAGTGTTAACACCTTCAAATTTTCCATTATTAAATGTTAAAATCATCCCAGGTTTCTTGTTTAAAAGAAGAGAAGCAGGTGCTCCTTGATTATTATTAACCTGTGGTTTTCCTGAAACAACATGTAATCCAGGCTTGTTAGCAATGTGCAATGGTACAAAAAACCCTTTTGGAGTCTGGACAAATATAGCTTTTTTTGGTTCTGAATTTACAAGTGGACTCGGCATATACAAAGAACCTAAATTTTGCGTAGTGGCTCGTAGTTTGTCTTTTACAAGTTGCTGTGTTATTATCGCATCTGACTGAGTCTTAAGTAATGTGCCAATACCTGAAATTCTAGGTGTTTTCTCCAAATCTTTCACATCTTGTGACACTGACAGCATTTGTGTTTCTTTTCCACTACATTTTAAATTCAGATCATTTGTAGGCACATTAATACCCATACTACCAGACGGAATTGGAAAGATGCCTTGTACTCTGAAGTCTTTTGAAGATTCAATAATTTTGCCTTCTCCCTCATGTTTCTGAAAAGACTGGTCACAGTGACCTGACAGGCCTTTATCTAGAGTGTTACTAGAGTCTTGTTTTACATCAGATTTTGTTTTTAATACATCTTGAAGTAACTGGTTTATTTCAGGTGGCAAAAATTCTGATGCCTGTTTGCTCTGCAGAGAGAACACAGATGTGATCCTAGGCATCAAAGGTGACTCAACACTGGAAATGTCATCCCATGTAGATTTTTCAGTCATGCTCTCTAAATTTTGGTTTTCATTAATGTATAGATTCTGGCCATCAATGTTTTGTCCTTCTTCTAAAACACACTGTTCTTCTATATCAACTTGAGCTTTTAAAGTTTCATCTTTAGCATTTAAAAGGCTAATAGATGCTAACATGCTATCTGGGTTTGAGCTCTCCTTTCTCACTAGTGATAAGACCGATGCACTTATTGGTTGTTGAACAACTGTCTTACTTGATGAAGATTCTCTTTGAGGGCTTTCACATGTTGCTGTTCCTGAAGACCTCCAACGTTTATTAGAATTATTCACTTTTGAATAATTATGAAAAGGTAATGATCCTTGTTTGGAAGATTCAACAGGTGACTCAGAGTTGACATAATTAATGCAGTAGTTATGCATATCTCCACTATTGTATGCATTTGGTTTGGTAGCAGAGGTGATTTTATCTGGACTTTTCATGGCAGTACCTGATACCTCAGGGTAACTATGAGTAATATGACTTCCTAGTAAGTCAACATTATCTCTTGTTTCAACTTTTGTGGTAAAATTCACTGATGATGTAATTAATTCTGATGATGTTGGAAAAGAAGATACACTTTTTTCATCATCCACAGTTTGAAGGGTATTACTCGTCTGAGATAGTAAAGCCATTTCTTTTTCTGAAGTTACTTTCCCTGGAAGTATAGGAGGCGAACATGAAAATGTAGTTGCTTTCATGTAAACTGTGTCACTTAAGTCAGTTGTTCCTCTTGTTAGAAATCCAGTGGTGTCCAAAGTCTGTAGCTTCAAATTAGCAGTACTGTCCTTTGCACCATCTGACTGTGAGCCTGATGAATATAAATTCTGTTTACTGGTAGGCAACAATTTTATTACAATATGTTGTTTTCCATCCACCATCTTGAAGCCCATAAACTTAGCACTGTAGTTAGCTGGAACTGTTATTCTATTGTTTTTCACCATTAACACTGTAGGTCCTTGTACAGCAGTCTTCAAGAAACCTGAAGCAGAATTTGACAGCTCTTCAGCTCTATTATGCTGTCCAGTGGACAGAATAGTTGGCTTTTCTGACTCTGACTCACCAGGTTTGTCATTGCTTTCACAGCGTAGTCGTTCATCCTTTTCATTAAAATGTTCTTGAATAAGATGACTCTGGCCTTCAGATTTAGCCTGTGTTTTGTTCACTTTTTTAACTACTTCAGTGTTTTTTTCTAGAATTTGGTCACTTCCACTGTGGATTTTCTTGCGTTTCCAGAATGTCTTCCTTGATGCACCTATTTTGTACCTTTTCAGTATTAGCTTAAGTCCTACTGAAGTCTTTGCCATCTTCTTTTCAAATTTGTCTTTTTCTAATTTTTCTTTTGCATATAAATGTTCTTTGTGTAACGTTAGAACATGTCTTACAAGGTGCTCCCTCCTTGCGGCACCATAGCTACAATATTGACAAGTGAAGGGAAATTTAACAGAATGAACATGAAGGTGCTTCTGAATCTCTCCTCTAGTAAAATATATATGATGGTATTTATCACTTTTATAATGAATTTCATTGTGTCTATGAATGTGCTGAACAAATGTGCCAACATCCAGGGTGGAAAATTTGCACTTTTCACATTGAAAACTACCATTTACACAATGTGTGGATACAAAATGTTTTGTCAAGTCTAATAAAGTATATACATTCTCATTGTTACAAATGTCACATTTTACTAAAGTGCTTCTATGGGTTCGTCTGTGTTGTTTAAATGCCTGGAAGTCATTTGCTGAAAAACTGCACATTTCACAAGGATATGAAGGTAATTCGCCATGGTGCCACATTTGAAAGTGTTTCTGCAAATCATTTGGGCTATATCGAGTACTATCTCGGCATTTTAAACAGCTGAAACTGAGTATTTTTGCAGACATTTTTATACCCTCTTCTTCAACCTTCTCAGACTTATGGAACAACACACGCTCCCCTACACAGCTTACAGCCTTTATACCGACAGATTTCCGTGCAGTCTGTGGTTTATGCTGAAATAATTTTCTGTATTTGTCAACTTCATTTTTCAATAGGACTTCATTTGGAATATTTATCTTCGGCAAATCAATTTTCACATTTTTCAGTTTATAATGAAAATCACTTTCTGAAATTTTGGGTTCAACTACTGATCTGATAGTATCAACTACATCACTTTTCATATCATAATCTTTTCTTAAAGTAGCTTGTTTTTCATCAAAAAATAACTGTTTCTGTTCAGATGGCATGATTTAACCAAAAATTCCGATTTCTTTTTTTCTGAAAACTCTTGAAATTACTGGAAATTTAAACAGGAAACAATACTGTGCTGAAACATCTTCGAAATACCAGGATTTTTCCCACATTAACTCACCTAAAACCAAACAAAGAATTGAAATTTTTATCACAAAAACATCAATAAATTTCATATTTAAGCTTATTTTGACAGAAGATAGGAATGCTGCTCAAATACATAAATAAAAGATGTAATAAAAGACCTGTTAATTATTTTAAGAACAGCTTACCAAGAAGCAAAAGTCTGAAGTAGAAATATCTCTAACACGGAAGTCAGGGAATACAAGCTTTACTTCCAGCTTTGCTCTGTGGCACTGGACAAGCTTCAACTTCTGTGCACCTCAGCTTCCTCATCTAAAGAAAACCACAATTGGAAAGGCACTCTTAAACTCTAAGATTTTTATATTAAGTTGATGCTATAGTTTTTAAACAGGATTTTTAAAATTTTAAAAAGAGAGCCCTAAAACCTTACATTCCAATTACACACTTGTACCTTTAACTTTCTCACTTGTTTAATAAACTGACTTTATAGCTATTACCTTGGGAAAATTTCAATAAATTTCTCTCCATATTTCCTACTTCTTTAGTGTATCAGGGACAACTTATAGATAAAATGAAAGTTTCATTCATCTAACAACAACAAAATGACATTACCTGCTCTCAAGTTATCATTACTAACATGTAAAAAAAAAGAACAAAACAGAAGAAATTAAAAGAAACAGCACCTTCCCTTGAGGTACTCCTAATATCTACCTACTACCTTTCTGGTTCCCTAACCATTTTGGTTATTTGGCTTTTTGTTCTAGAACTCAGACAGATGGCACAAAGAAAAGCTTGGCAGATTAGAATGTACCCATTACTATTTACCTTCATTAATTCAAACACTTACTGATTTATGTTATTCTTGACAAGTGTCAGTCTGTATCTTAGGTTCTTCATCTATAAAATGAAAAATATTCGTATTTCCCCTACCCATTTTTATAAAATTGTTGTGAAGATTAAATAAGAAAATATATGTGAAAGTATCTGGTAAAGTGCTAAATAAACTGCAGCTACCATCAGTATTATATGTAACTACCACGGATGAGGAAATATGATTCAAATTTCAGAGGAATAAAAAACAGTAAAGTAATAAGTTGACAGTACATTGCTGAGATTAGAACCTGAGTACTAAAGGTTCAGTAGTCAAATATCAAACCATGTATTAGAAGAATTACATTTTCTTACTTTAGTAGTCTTAAATATATATATGAATAATAGATAAAATTAGATAAGCTAATGGAAATAAAGTGAAAAATCACATGAAGCTTCATCTATAATGTCCACCCAAAAGTCTCAGCTTCAGATTTCAGTTAATCTAAATAACTAGGAACTTCACTGTTTTAGAAATCCTTTATTTGAGGAATATAATTAGACATCACATTAATTTTATATTAAAAGGCCCTTTTAATATTACTCAAGCTTAATAATTTTGGGGTGGGTCTAAAAAACACATTCTTCATATATACATACATATATATGTATGTGTCTGTGTATATATACACATATATATGCTAGCCTGATAAATTCATTAGAGAGGTAGCAGTTTACAGAATTTTTTTAAAAGATTTTATTTACTTTTAGAGAGAAGGAGAAAGAGGGAGAGAGATACATCAGTGTGTGCTTGCCTCATGCATGCCCCTTACTGGGGACCTGGCCCATAATCCAGGCATGTGCCCTAACTGGGAATGGAACCAGTGACCCTTTGGTTCATAGGTCAGCACTCAGTCCACTAAGCTACATCAGCCAGGGCAGTTTACAGAATTTCTTTACATACTATACTTAATACAGTAAAATATTAAATATTACTGGAAACTTTTTACTATATTACTTAAAGTGAAATGTAAAAAGCTTTTTCTTCAAAAGTAAGAAAAATAATCAATGGCTAGAAAAAAATTCAATGATCTTTGGTGGTTATTCATACCAACTGAAAAGATTCCCTAAAGATGATCACATTTTCAGCAATGATAAGTATCATAATTACGTATAGAGTTTTCACCACACCAGAATCTGAAAGTGGGGGTCAAACATATGAAACTTTTTAAGAACACCTAGAAATGGTTCTTCTCCATTTGTTGGTCATTCTGGATTGTCCATACCCAAGCTTTTCCATTATTACATACAATTAAGAGGATTCTATATCATGAGTTTCATTGCAAAAGGAAAACTTTTTACAGTGATATTTCATGTGTCCAAAAATTATGTGTAATGCTAAAAAAGAACAAATTTTAACAATATTTCTAAATATCATTAATTACATTTCAAAACTTCTATGCAACTTAAAAAATTTCTTATAAGAAAACACATATCTCAAAGTATGACAACCAGTTTAAAAATATGATTTTAAATAACTCAACTAACACTAATAAATATCTACTATGAATATGAGGCATTTTGGTGGATGTCATGGAAAGATTCAAAAAACTTGGTCCTTACCTATTTGAGGCTTACAATCTAACAGGTGGAGGCAGGACATATACTTTAAAACATTTCTTATTCAGAGTTGACCATCCAGGAACCTCACCCTTTCAGTACACAAAGAACAGAAAATAATTAAGCAGAATATGTTACAGCCAAATCAGATGCCATAAAGTTTACCCATTAAAGTGCATGCCCTTGCCCTGGCTGATTTAGCTTGGTTGGAATGTCATTCTGTAACCGAAAGGTTGCAGGTTTGATTCCTGGTCAGTGCACATAACCTAAATTACAGGTTCAATCCCTGGTCCAGGTGCACATGGGAGGCAACTGATTGATGCCTTTCTCTCACACCGATGTTTCTCTCTCCCTTCCTCTCTAAAAGCAATAAAAACATGTCCTTGTGAGGATAAAAAATAGATAAATAAATAAAGTGCATGCCTTTTCCTCACAGGCAAAACAAACCTGAAAGAAAGGGACTAACTTATTAAGAAATCCACTCAACTTTTATTTAAGTTTGGTAACTGTTAATTAATGTTGAAAGCCAAATTTTTCTATAATTAATGTATGGCATATACAATACAGTATTAGGGGAATTTTGTGTATTTTAGGAAGTTCTAGGTTTTTTATTTTCCCCAAATTTTAAATTTGGAGTATCTATTTTGTCTTCAATTTTGTTCAACCTGTAGTATACGTGGAAGCAATCAAAGATGATACCCTGGTAGCAAATTATGTTAGGGCTGCCACATATGGGGACAAAATATATTGCCATATTTGGAACACTTCAGAAAAACTGCAGGAGAAATTTACTATAATTTTAAGCTTCCAACCTATTAGCTAATGCTTTTTTCACTACAGTCTCATCTCTACTCCACCAATAAGGATTACTGGTTTTAAATCTTCTATTTAAACTACTGCCTTCTAAATATGTATTATTTCTTCATAAGACTTGACCAACATCTCATCAAGCCTTGAAATAATACAATTTGTATAAAGTATGACTGGCCCTTTAATATAACCTGGAGAGTTTCATGCACCAACATGGAACTTAAGCAATTTGACTTTCTTCCTTTCCCAATTGCCCACTGAAACACAAACCAAAAAAAAAAAAAAATCTTAAGAAAATCCTACAAACTAGAAAACATTCCCTATACATACTACAAGGCATTGGTAGGAAATGGTCCAGAGAAAGAAGAGTGAAAATAAATGCTGACCAACTTTCAAGCACCATTTGTAAAGAGGAGGCCTATTAGGGTACATTCATTCAACTAGTATTTGATGAGTATCTATTAATATTATGCCCTGAGTAAGGAAATGAATAACGTAATTCTGTCTATTCCCTCCCTTAAACATACCTTGGTAGAGAAAGCAAGGGCTTGAGAAGAAGATTTTGTAGAATCCCCTAGGGTAACAGAAGTCTCCAGCTGAGGTATGGGGGAAGATGATGAATCCAGAGCTTTGATCTGGGTCCAGAAGCCAACCAGAGTTGGGGGTTGCTAGCACCTGCTATCAGGAAAGAAGAGAAAATTATTTCTGAACAAAGACATATCTTCCTAAATCCCTAGATATCTCTTGCTTAAGATGTCTGTCCTTTTCCATAGAAGTAAATAATTATTTCTAAGCTATTAGAAAATTATTACAACTTTCCTCTGCCCTCCATTTAACTAAAAAAAAGAGAAAAAAAAGGAAAGAAAGAAAAAAAGTATCCTCTAAGAATTCATCTCAACTACCAATGCCTATAAAGCAAAAAAGGTAAGTAGGCAGAAACATCACTGGATGTCATGTCTCAAAATAAGGCAAATAAGCTGAACACTTAACAAAACCTATCTTCTATTCTCCCATCTACTAGTGGAAAACAGTAACTACAATGAAAGTTACTGCAGGAACAAGCAGAAAATGTTAAAAAAAAATCAATTGAAAATTGGCAATCTCATTTTTTAAAAAAAAGAATACACTGACATGAAAGAGAGAACAAAGTAGATGGGCGAAAAATATGATTTTGGAAAAAAAAAAGAAAATTATATTGAGTTTTTGTTTTGTTTTGTTTTTTAAGACCTGAATTTTCAAAATGAAAGGCTCTCCAAATACCTGGCAACATTATTAGTGGGGGGAGAATATGAAATTCATTAACTACAACTTATCCTACTAACATGTTCTGGTTTAAAAGATAAAAATGAAATATTATTTCAAAAAATAAGGTGGAAAGGAACAGTTACCTAAAAAGATGTTCAAATTTTCATCAGAAATGTCAACTTTAATCAGACAGCAATATTAATCAAACATTTTACAGACAATTCTATACACTAGAGACAATGAAATAACATATATAGAGTTCTGAGAGAAAAGAATTAACCCTTCACCCAGGTAAATTCTCATATGTGAGGGAAAGATACAAGTTTAGATGTGCAAGATTCAGAGAATATACTACCTATGTACTCCTTCTGAAAAAAAGTTTTAAGTAAATACTTTAGTAAAATCAAATTTCAATAAAAAAGCAACTAAAAACAATGAGAAGAATTATCTGTCAACATCTACAAAACAGAAATAAATGTAAGTATTTTCTTAACACAGTTAAGAAACCAGAAAACACTGGAGAAAGAGAACATTTGCCACATGATTATTAAAAGAAGCCCTTAAAGAAAAATTAACAATGGAAAACAGAAGAGATGACAATAGCAACAAAATTGTAGATACTGGAAAGCAGATAAATTAGTAAAGAACTCTGCAGACCCAAGAAAACATCCCAGGCAGACAGTGGGTAAAGCTAAGAGCTAACCCATTTTACACTATTTTATCTTCAAAAGGATTTGGAACTGGCAGCATCATATAACTCTAAAATGGAAAAGGAGGAGGGAGCTAAAATAAAGAGAAATTTGGAGAAAGCTACTTCAGTTCTGGTTAGATGCTAAGAGTCCTCCCTATTCAATGCCAGGTAACTGCTGTTCCCCCACCACAGTAGAAGTCTGGAGGTTTATTGTCTGCAGAGAGTAAAACAGAATATCTGAAATAGGGGATACCAGACACAGGTGAGACAGTGGGAAACTAAAGGTAACAATCAGAGATGTTCACTACAGCCCTGTTTACAAAAAGGACAAAATTGAAAATAACTAAATATCCACCAAAAATAAATTACGGTATTTTCATTCAATGGAGTATTACTTAACTTTTACAATATATTATAAACACATTTATTAATAGAAAGATATCCAAGATGCAGTGAGTGAAAAACCAGAAAACAAACAATAGATATATCAAGGCTTTTATGTATCAGGCTACAACTATCAATGTAAATACAGAAGAGATAGATAAGCAAACAGACACAAGGGCCCACACAAACTCACAGTTAAAAGTCAATCATACAGCCCTGGCTGGTGTAGCTCAGTGGATTGAGTGCGGGCTGTAAACCAAAGTGTCGCAGGTTTGATTCCCAGTCAGGGCACATGCCTGGGTTGCAGGCCACGGCCCCCAGCAACCGCACATTGATGTTTCTCTCTCTCTCTATCTCCCTCCCTTCCCTCTCTAAAAATAAATAAAATCTTAAAAAAAAAAAGTCAATCATATACACATAAAAATGTTTAGCGATAGATAACTGGTTGTCCTTAGGTCAGTATTTCTTAAAATGTTGTCCCTGGATATCTATGGCCTCCACAATGGCATACTGTATTTCCTTATCATAGCATAAGCAAACAGATTACATTTGGATGTAACAAGAATGATAACCTTGTTGCCTCTAACCGCACTATTATGAAACTTTATCAAAAACACCATGAAACCATGAAAATTTTGAAATTCTCAAACAAAGCAAGTGACTTCTGTGTAAACTGAGTTTTTCCTAAACCAACTTAAAGTAGTAAACTTGAGCTAAAACAAAATTGATGAATGTTTTGATTGTTTTTCTATACTAAAGGTAGAAAAGCAATCAAAATAAAATAGATTACTCAGTCCTGTACTCCTCATATAAAAACACAGGTGTCCAACCACGCCACTGTAGAAAAGTTGATTACAAAGTTAGTGGCAAACATAATATGCAGAGAATGAAGAATTATGCTACTAGATGTCGCTCATGCCTTATAAATTCATGCTACAGGTGACTTTTTGTTGTTTATTTCACAATTAATTTGTGAGCCATGATGTTACATAAAAGGTAAGGGAATTGGCACCGCAGAATAGCAGCTATGGAGTGTTTTATACAAAAAAGTTACATGTATTTTATAGAGAAAATAAATAATATGCCTTATTATCTTGGTTCACTGTTAAAAGAATAAAAAAGAGTAAAAATTATAACATCGATCTATTTTTTCTATATACTACACAAACGAATAGCAAGTATAATGTTGAACTATTTTTACATTAAGCATATCATTGCTTAATAAAGTTCTAGTTTTGATCAGACAAAAATTTATTTAGAATTTTTTTTCCCAATGCTTGCTGTAAATTTTTCTACTTCATCTGCTCTGTAAAGTTCACTAAACAAGAGAACTGTCCGCACCTTAAAACAGCATACACTATACTGACTTTCCAGTTTCTGTCAAGATGTCGGCAGAGGTAAACATGGTTCTGCTGTGCACACAACCACATCAAAATTACAACTAAAATATAGAAAAACTATCACTCAGAACCATCAGAAATTGAGTTGAATGGAAGTCTGAAACTAAGGAATTCAAGAAACCACATCCAACCAGACTGGTAAGCAGGGCAGAGACACGGAACTGGCTGGTCCCACACCCATGTGTGGTGAGTACAAATTTAGAAGAGATATCTCAGGTGTGAGAAGTTCCGGGCCCCCCTAAGGCCAGGGTTTCAGTGCCAGGAAGATAAATTCCCATAACTTCTGGCTGCAAAAACCAGTGGGGATTGAGTTGGTGGAAGAAACTTCTGGAGTCCCAAGCAGTTCCCCTTAAAGAATCCACACACAAACTTACTCAGATTCACTCCCTCTGAGCTCCAGCACCAGGGCAGTAGCTTGAAAAGCACCAGTGGCATACAAGGAGAAACTGAAGTGTCTGGCATCAACACAGGAGCTGGGGGACAGCTTTCTTCCAGGAAGAAAGGTGGGCAGAGGCCACTGTATCTTTTCTGAACCCTCCTCTCACAGAGCCACAGAGCCAGCAGATGGGGGCAATGTCTGAGACTCCATCAACCTAGCAAACACTGTTTTCCCTGCCCTGGAGATACCCTGAGACCCCATCACACCTGATTTATGGGCCCATCCAAACTGTTAAACCATGACTTTTCCATATGAACGGCTAGTCTTAGTTCATGCTTCACAACTTCCCAAATCCTACCCAACAAGTAATAGCCAGTCTCAGTAAGTACCTCTTGCTCCCAGCTTCCCATACCTCTTGCTAAGTGGCCCAAGGCCGGGCACTAGGAACAGCCAACCTTGATTCACAGTTTGGCTTTTCCTGGGAATCTCCAAGCCAGCACAAGTAGCAGCCATCTTAGATTGCTTTATACCTCATGAAGGGTGGCCCCAGGCAGAACACAGGTAGAGGCTAATCTTGGTCACCACCACCGGGCAACCCCAGAGCCCGCATGCCCAGTGGAGAGGTACAGACCAAATGGGAGCACTATGACCCTGTTCCTGTACAGCTGATCTTCCATGGAGCGGGAAGGTTGGTGGTCAGTGGTCACAGCCAGTACTTGTCGCTGATTGGCTGGGGTAAATCCCCCACTGACCTGCTAACAGCAATCAAGGCTCAACTACAAGTACCCCTCGTGTACTCAGCCCACACGAGGGGTACCCTCGAGTACCCAGCTTGGGTGATAGGGGAGGCTATGCTACTGAACCCTACAGGGCAACTACTACATTAGACCACACTACCAAGACAAGGAGCCATAGCAGCTCTACCTAATACACAGAAACAAAAAGCGGAAGCTGTCAAAATAAGCAGACAAAGAAACATGGCCCAAATGATGGAAAAGATCAAAATTCCAGAAAAAGAACTAAACAAAATGGAGATAAGAAATCAGATGTAGAGTTGAAAACACTGGTTATAAGGATGCTCAAGGAACTTAGTGAGGACCTCAACAACATAAAAAAGATCCAGTCAGAAATGATGAACACACTAATTGAAATAAAGAACAATTCAGGGAAACAACAGTAGAGTAGATGAAACCCAGAATCATGTCAATGATGTGGAACGTAAGAAAGCAAAACCAATCAATCAGAACAAGAAGGAAAAAGAATACAAAGAATGAGGACAGTGTAAGGAGCCTCTGGCACAACTTAAAGTGTTCCAACATTCACATCATAAGGGTGCCAGAAGGAGCAAGAAATTGAAAACCTATTAAAAAAATAATGGAGAAACTTCCCTAATTTGGTAAAGGAAATAGACTTCCAAGTCCAGGAAGCACAGAGTCCCAAACAAGATGGATGCAAAGAGACCCACTCCAAGACACATCATAATTAAAATGCCAAAGGTTAGTCTACGGTCATACTACCATAACACGCCCAATCTCGTCTGATCTCGGAAGCTGGGCAGGGTCAGGCCTGGTTAGTACTT